CTCTCTCTCTCCAAGTAAACAAGGTTGCCAGGCTCTGAGTTCTTCCTCCTTGTACAGAAGTGGTAAATTTACTCCTAGCTGAGAGCCTGAGTTAATGGTAGGACTCCCCTTGTTTCTGTTTTCTTAGGGATCACAGTACCCCACTTCCTGTGTCTGAAAATAGTCCTTTCCAGTATTTTATGCTATATGTCTAGTTGTTTATGGTGAAAGGATCATCCTGTAACTGTTCACTCCCTCATGGTCAGAAGCAGAAGTTGAATCATTCTAGAATGGGTTTTAATGCTAACACCTTTGCAAAATTCAGAAGCTCCCAAGAAATTGTTAACACTTAACCATTGGCTTACTTTTTCTCAATATTGTTGTAAATGAACTATGTTTTCCATGGGAACTATTCTTTATTTTTCAATGCAGAGAGCCCATTACAAACTCTAAATCAGAAAATGATCAGAAGAAAAGGATATATCATACTTAATTAATTTTATGAATCAGGAAGATGGATTTCTTGAGTATAAAAATTGTCTCTATTATGGGATAGTAATTTGAAATATAAAATTATTAAAATTTCATTATAAATATGAAGGAATAGCATTGCCAGTATGTAAGGACTAAAATGAACCATTAATCTAGTCTTTTAAAATATGAATTCTAAAATTTTAGAGACTAGCATGTTGAATGTAGATTGTGTTAGAAATTTGGCAAATGTTATCTGTAAAGGGCCAAATAATGTATATTTTGGACTCTGTAGGCATTTTGTTCCTATAACAGCTACTTAACTCTGCCTTTATGGTAAAAAAAAATCAGCCATAGACAATACATAAACACATGAGCTGGCTGTCTTCCGATAAAACTTTATTTAGGGACCATGAAATTTGAATTTCATCTAGTTTTTATGTCTCAAAATATTCTCCTTTTGATTTTTTTTTAACTCTTTAAAAATGTAAAAACTATTTTTACCTAGCAAACCATATATAAGCAGGCGGCAGGTTGGATTTGACCTATGGGTAAGGCTTGACAACCCCTACTTTATAATTAAAAAGTTCCTCAGTAGGCTGTCAGATTCCTAGTAGACCATTGTATTTTCATTCTAAATGATGTTTTTACCTGAAATGATTTCCTACTGTTAAGTTAAATAGCAAATAAGAACACACAAAGTGTAGGGCTTTGAAAGATTATGTAGTGTCAAAGGTTTGAAAGATTTTACAGGGTCAGAATTCCTGCAACCAATTGGGGAATTGAGGCTAGTGTCTAATTTGCCTTACTACCAAGCTTGCACATTTTATATTTTTCAGTGAAGAAAGGCTAAATTCCTCCCTCCCTATTTTTGTTTTATTATGCTTATCCCATTAATGTTCCCAAATTAATACATAGTTCTTTATCCTGAATTTAGTCATTTTTGGATGAAGTTGGCCTGGTACTCATAAACAAAGAGTCCCTTCACCTTATATTTAACTTCATGCTGTCCCTACTTAGATTCTGGATTCTTTTCTTCTTAGTTCACAGTCTTGAGACTATAGCCTCTTTTCTGTATTACCTGTGTTTCTATGATGTCTTTCAGATAACCTTATTAGCCAGTTAGAACACAAAATACATTTCAAAGCATATTTTCTTTATTCTACCTGATGGGGCTTAGTGTTCTGGTCGGTCTCTTATTGGAATGCTCCAAATTTGTTTTCTAATATCTATCTGAAGCAGGATTGAACTATGCATCCTACTATTCTGTTTGGTGCTATATCCATAGCGTTAATTCAAGCCCTACTTCAGAACAATGACTATGCAGTTCATATTCTATAATTGTAAGTGTATATTCTTTTCTTCCTCCTTAAGATGTATAGTTGATGTTGTTCTTTACCAGTAGCCAAAATCCAGTACCATGGAAGTTCTGGAAGAAAGGGCATAGGTTTAATTTAGGTGAGTGCTGCTATTACATCATAAATGGGTGGTGACATAGTTGCATATAGCTGCACATTTGGGGAATACTATTCTTGTTTGCATGTCTTTGTGATGTTTTCCCAACACATTGTAACATTGTCTAGAAATAAAACAGAAAGGCAACTTCTTTCTTTTCTAATGCAGGGAGAGAAGAACTTTTGTTTTCAAATATGAAATAAAAATAAGAATTGGTACTAGCAGAAGCTTTAAATAAATGGAGAGTCAGAACCCAGAGACAATTTCCTTTGTTAGAAGTTAACAATTTAAAATAATTGTTATTTTATTGTTGTCGTTACACAGGAATAATTAGTAAATAGGTTTAAAATCAGGCCGATTTTTAAATTTTGGGCATGATAGTGCTGTGATATTCAAGGTTATCTTCTCACAAATTGCTATTTTATTGTTTTAATAATTTAGAACTTTTTTTAAAGAGCATTATATATTCCTTACTATCTTGTGACATGTGTGCCCTATATCTGGAAAACTCTATTTCTAAATCTTTACATGTCTGTCTCATTTTATTCCATTTTCAACTTGACATCATCTCCCCAGAGAGTTTTAGTTTATATACTATCTAAAACAGCATCTTTATGTTCCCATTATCTTTGTAACACTCAATTTTATTTTTTCAGAGCATTTATTATCTCTGAAATTAGTTTATTATTTGTCCATCTTTCTGTACTAGAAAGTAAGCTCTATGAGAGCAGAAAGCTTGCATTTTACTTGTTTCTCTATCTCTAGTACTTAGAACACTGCATTTCACACAGTAGTTCCTAAGTACATAATTCATATGCAGTTGGTTGGAAGGATGAATAAATAAAAGTATATCAGCTGGGCATGGTAGCTCACACCTGTAATTCTAGCACTTTGGAAGGCTGAGGTGGGAGGATAGCTTGAGACCAGGAGTTCAGGACTAGCCTGGGCAACATAGTAAGACCTAGTTTCTACAAAAAATGTAAAAATTAGCAGAGCATGGTGGCATGTAACTGTAGTTTCAGCTACTCAAGAGGCCGAGGCAGGAGGATTGCATGAGCCTAGGAAGTCAAGGATGCAGTGAGCCGTGATTATGCCACTGCACTCCAGCCTGGCTGACAGAGTGAGACCCTGCCTCCAAAACAAACAAACAAAATAGTAAATACTGCTCCTCATGTGGTTAGAAAAACTAAACATTTTTAAAAATAAGAATAAAGAGAAAAAATATTTTTAAAAAGAGCATATCCTCAATAACCTGTGAAATCATAAGCAGTCAAACTTATGTATATTGGAATCCCCAAGAGGAAGAGAGAATAGGGGACAGAATGATTTTTTTAAAAGAAATAAGTGCTAAATTTTCCCCATATTAGGTAAAAACCTAACTCCCAGAATCAATGTAATAAACTCCAATTATGAACTCCAATTTGTATAAATACAAAAAAAAATCAGATCTAGACATATAATATTCATGCTACTAAAGTCCAAAGATAGGCCAGGCACGGTGGCTCACACCCGTAATTATAGCACTTCGGGAGACCAAGGCAGGTGGATCACCTGAGGTCAGGCATTTTAGACCAGCCTGGCCAACATGGCAAAACCCTGTCTCTACTTAAAATAGAAAAATTAGCCAGGCGTGGTGGCCGGCGCCTGTAATCCCAAATAGTCGGGAGGCTGAGACAGGAGAATTGCTTGAACTCAGAGGGTGAAGGTTGCAGTAAGCCAATATTATGCCACTTTAGCCTGGGCAAAAGAGCAAAACTCTATCTCAGAGAAATAAAAAATAAAGTCCAAAGATAAAGAGAAGAATCTTCAAAATACCCAGAAAACAAAAGAAGCATTAAATACAGGAGAGTAATAATATTAGTGACAACTGACTTAACAATCAAAGACAAAAAATTATGGAATGACGTCATTAAAGAGTTGTAAGGAAAAAGAAAAAAACCTTTAAGTCAAAATGCAATATACAATGAAAATGTCATTCAAAAATGAAGGTAAAATGAGATAATTTCAGATTTTAAAAACTTAGATATTTATTATTAATAGACATACAGTGTAAGAACTACTAGGAGTTTCTAAGCTGAAAGGCAGTGATACCAGATAAAAACTCAGTTCTACAAGAAGAAATGAATATCAGCAAGAATGATTAATACAAATGGATTTTCTTTTTTTTTTTCCTCTGTCACTTTCTTTAAAAGAAAGCTGACTTTTTAAAATAAAAGTTGGGAATGGTATCATTATGAGGCTTTGTAATATAAGTAGAGGTATAATATATGATTACATTAGCAAAAGAATATTATAATAAATGGAATTACAGTCATCCTCAGTGCCTCAGGAGATTGGCTCCAGGACTATCCCCCATGCATACCAAAATTCACAGATGCTCAGATTCTTTATATAAAATGTAGTGTTTGCATATAATCTATATACATCCTCTTATATATAGTATTTCAATAACTCTTTCAGTTATTTTCCTTGTGTTTGGTGTCATAGAGAAAGAAATTGGGTCAGTTTTGAACATGCATTAAAATGGATGCCCAAGAATCAGAAATAGGTAGACATTTATTAATTTAATTTTGGATGGTATTTTTTAAAACCAAATTAAAAATAATACTAGAGTCTAAACTAAAACTGCAAAGTGGCTACTGAAATATTTACAGTTGGAGATACCTGCTTTCAATATTTTAGAGAGGTTATACCGAAGTTGAACATTGTGGCCCTTAGAATCATATTTTTATAAAGTTCTAATTTAATTTAATTTTTTAAAGTTCTAATTTAATTTAATGATGTCATTCAATTTTCATATGCTTCTAGTAGAATAAGTCTCTACAAAAACAATCAAATGAAGACTTAGAAAATTTCAACTGTGTCAGTGTTCTTTCTGTTCTTGTAAGTTACCGGTTCTTTGGTATGCCATGGGGAGTTCTTGAGTGTGTGAGGTTCTATGTGTGTCTCCACCTAAGTAAAGAAGATATTTTTTATGTATTAGATGAATTATAACTGTTGAATGAGGGTGATATTAGGAATATCTAAAAAATGATGTCCAGTATATTTGAAACTGTATTTCTTTCTAGTTTTGCTTTATTTTTTTTCTCTTACAGTAAACACAGCTATCTTCAGAAACTAAGGAATGAGAGGCAAAGAAGAAGGGACATTCATCTTGGAAAGACCCAGAGCACCTTGAAATTTGGAAGGAATGTTGTGCTAGCTGCTAAAGCCACCTTTATCACCAGAATGAATGAAGTGCTTCAGATTTAAATGGTAACCAGAATTCTCCCAACATGTTACATTTTCACCAAGAGCTTTAGATAACTGGAAAGAATTTCTTTTTAAGTTTAAATGTTTAACTTAAATGCCAAACTATAGATAAAGCTGAAAATTTAATAACGTATGTAGTGTAATCAGGCTTTGGTCCTTAATGGATTGCTTTTCCCCTAGTTATAAACTTCTTAATTTATAAATGTAAGTTTATTTAAGAAAGAATATGACAAATACTAGTATATTTGTAAGTCCATCTGATGCAGGGAAGGTGAACCCCAAAGCTTGCCTGCCCAAAGCTTAGCCCACAAGGGATCTCAGCTTTGCAGAGGCAAGAATTCAAGGGCAAGCCAGAGGTAGAAGCAAACAGCTTTATTGAACAGGCAGTGTTACCCTCCAGTGGTGTCACAGCTCTGTGATTGCTGCTGCAAAGCAGGGGTACTTTGTAGGCAGACAGTAGCAGCTCAGGGTAGCTTTGCGGTCATATTTATACCTACTTTTAACTGCATGCAGATTAATGGATGGTTTATGCAGAAATTTTTAGGGAAAGGATAGTAATCATTGGGTCATTGCCACGGAAAGGTGTGGTAACTTCTAGGTGTTGCCATTGCAACAGTAAATTCACATGGCATGATTGATGGCTGCTGTCTCCCCGACACCCCAATTTTAGCTAGTACTCTATCTGGTCCCATGTCTGAGACCCACTTCTGGAGTCAAGTCCCTCCTCCTACTTCACGTCCTTCAAAAAATACTTCTTGGTTTCGTAGAAATAAGCAACATAGGCAGTAGTTCCTATTCAATATACAAAGGTTTTTTAGTGTTATTTTTTGAACTTTATTTCATGTTTTGTTTTCCTCACTTGACATCTGGTCTCTAGCTATCTTATTTTAATATAATCTTTATTTTCTCTTTTGCATCTCTTTCTCTCTACCTTTTAAAAATCATCTTGAAAGAATTGGGAGTTATAAAGTAGACAAGAATCCAGAATAGGAAAGGAGAGGGAAATTTTAAAGGATTATAAGATTTTTTTCTTCTTGTGAAATTGAAAATACTATTTGATTTCAAGTAGAGTAGAAAGCAATTATATGAAAGCTTAAGATTCATTATCATTCTTAAATCCTCTTGGTCTTAGGCCAGAATTATTCCAATGCATGTTTTGTAAAGATTCAAATATTTCCAGTTTTTTAAATGAAATCCTAGTGAACAATTATAACTTTTATTCATTGGATTTCTATTAATTTGATTTTGAGAGATAATCATTTGATTGAGTCACTGTGTTTTGATTGTGAATGGGTATGATGGGCTGAAACTAGTTCCTTGCTTTGAAATGCAGGAGATGTAAAAATCTATCAAATAGCATCATGAACTATTTCTAATGATTCTAAGGAATGCAAACCCTGTTTCATATAAGACAGGAGAAATTATATACCAAAGAATGAATGTTCTAATTATTCTTCCCTGTGCTAACATTAACCTTGATTAAAAATATCTTAACAGTGATTTCTTTAAAAAGTTACCTAATTGTAAGTTAAACCTCAACTTTTGGCATTCTTGGAACTTTTTTGTGGCCTAGTCACTGGTAGCCATGTAGCTATGTGTATCCTTTTAAAATATCCAATAAATTCTCTCTAGTCCTCAACTACTGAAAAATTTAAAAGTTGAAGAAAGGAACTTTTAAAACACGGCAGAAGTCAAAGTGCCGAGTGTTAACTTATGCAGGTGAGATAATACACTGAAAGTCACCAGATTTCCCTGCCTCTCTGATTGATTTAATTGTACCTATTTAATTATATTTGCTTCAGGGCTAGATGCAGTGGCTCATGCCTGTAATCCCAGCACTTTGGGAGGCTGAGGTGGGTGGATCACTTAAGGTCAGGAGACCAGCGTGGCCAGCATGGCAAAACCCCAACTCTACTAAAAGTTAGCTGGGCATCATAGCGAGCACCTGTAGTCCCAAGCCACTCGGCAGGCCAAGGCAGGAAAATCACTTGAACCTGGGAGGCAGAGGTTGCAGTGAGCCGAGGTTGTGCCATTGCACTTCATCCTGGGCTACAGAGCAAACTCCATCTCAAAAATAAATAAATTAATTAAATTAAATCTGCTTCAGTAATTTTTTAATTTATTTAATTAATTATTTAATTTTTTCTTTTGCCTGTAGTTGCTAGCCATTCTATACAGTCTCTATCACACAGAAAAGGTATCTTTTCAGACTACCAAACTCTGTAGGAATGAAAGATAATTTTGTTTTCAGAAAGGAGTCTTCATCATATTCCACACATGTGGAAAAGAGAAGTAGGAATTGAATGTGATCACCTTTGCCAACCATCTGTAGGTTTCTTTTTTTTTTTTTTCCTACGGAGTTTCACTCTTGTTGCCCAGGCTGGAGTGCAATGATGCAATCTCGGCTCACTGCAACTTCTGCCTCCCAGGTTCAAGCGATTCCACTGCCTCAGCCTCCTGAGTAGCTGGAATTACAGGCATGAGCCACCACACCTGGCTAATTTTGTATTTTCAGTAGAGACGGGTTTCTCTATGTTGGTCAGGCTAGTCTCAAACTCCTGACCTCAGGTGATCCACCTGCTTTGACCTCCCAAAGTGCTGAGATTACAGGCATGAGCCTCCACGTGCAGCCCATCTGTGGGTTTCTAAGACATGTTCTCATTTCTCTTTGAGGGATTATTCATTGCAACTGGTACTCACACTTTCCTTAAAGAAAGTACTACTTTTATTTTCCCTCTGCCTTCTATCACATAGCAAGAGTGTTGGTGGAAATTGCTTTTCCATAAAAAGAACTGTGCCACCTACTCTTCAAATGCTACTGATTAAGAAAATCATTGATTGATTTTTCCTGGGGAATAAATTAGGCTTTACCCTGAGAGTGGTAAGAAATAAATAATGGGATGTAAAGAATAAAGATGGCTGTGTGTTATGAGGAAAATGTGTATGCAGTTGCCATGGAAACAACATGTAGGCATTCAAAACAGAAGCTTATGATATCTTTGTATTTGTCAAATATAAATCAGAAATGAGTTGCATTCATTCTCGTTCTTGGCTCAGATTTAGTCTGACACATATGGTTATGTAAAATATTCTTCTACTTTAGTATATTTGCTTAATATTTGCAAGAATCTAGCAATACACGGGCTGCCATATTTTAAAATCATATACTGGAAGCATAGAAATAAAACTAGGGAAAGGAGTTCTCAGCAAATAATTCCTAAAAGGTAGCAGCACAATCACATTGTGACTTTCATAATTAACTAAGGTAATTAATTTTTCTTAAACATATTTACAATGTTTGGCCTAGCTAATTGGTACAAGCTAATTATTTGTGAGTGATGTCAAATGCTGAATAAGCATAGTTTGATAATTTATTCTTATTTAATATATGTGATTTCATTTCATGAGTAAGGCACAATATGCAGTGTTTCTGAATGATATACTTTTCTGTTGGAAGACATCAGTTGACTCCAATTTCATGTGTTATAAGTGAAACATGATAGAAATCTAGAGAAAGCATACATGGATTTTGAGGATATGGAGAATTTGACAAAATTTTTCATAGCTTTAACTTCTTACGGTAACTAATTCCAAAGATAATACAGAAAATGCAAACCGTACCTGAAGCTACTGCCTTTTAATGGGCACACAAACTAAAAATAGGAAAATCTAAAAACAGTTAGAATAGACCCCTTTCATGGAAAAGAAAGGGGTACCCTCTTAACTTCACTACCTTATCTTTTCATGCCACCTTTGTTAGTGATTTCATAGCCCATCAGTTTATTGTCCTGTGTATTTTCTCCTGTTAGATTTTCTAAAAGGCATGCACTTTGAGCAGATAGCCTAGAGGCTTAATGTCTTATTAAAGCAGTAATTGTTTAAACAGTGCAATAAATGATACAGTAATTTTATGAGACCAAATAGAGATTGGTGGGAAAAGGCTAAATGGAGAGGTTTTTCAGAGGGGTTAAGTTTTAAGTCAAAATTTAAAAGGTAAAAGGCCTTACAAGAGGTATTTTAACAACATGTATTATCAAAAGTTTAAAAAATATATACACATGCATAAATATACGTGTGTGTGTGCACGTGTACTGTTTGATCCAAAAATTATACTTCTAACAATTACTGTTTGATCCAAAAATTATACTTCTAACAATTTGTCTTAATAAAGATTTATGCAAATATTGAATTAGGAGAATATTTAAACCCTGTTTAAAATAGAGAAATTTGGAACATATTGAAAATACTAGAACTCAACATCAAGTCCAGAGGAAGGGGTAACTAATTTTAGGATAAATCTAGAAATTGAGTGTGTAGCTATTTGAAATGATATTGTGGAAAAATATTGGTGATATATTGTTCAGTGAAAAACAAGCAGTAGTTTGATTGGATATGTATTAAATCTACAGATTAGTTTGAAGAAAATTGACATCTTTACTATGTTGAATATTCCAGTTGAGGAACGTAGTGTATGTCTTCATTTATTTTGGTCTTTGATTTCTTTTATTAGCATTTTATGGTTCTCAGCATACCCCTCATCTACTTGCTTTTTTAGATTTATACCCAAGGATTTCTTTTGAATTTTATTTTTTTTGGAGCTGATCTGAAAGTTATTTTTTTTAACTTTGGTTTCTATTAGTATATTGCTTGTATATAGAAACATAATTGATTTTTGTATGTTGACCATGTATCCTGCAATCTTAAAATCCTTATTAACTCTAAGAAATTTTTTGTAGATTCCTTGGAATTTTTCATGTGCATTGTCATGTCATATACAAATAGGTACAGTTTTATTTTTTATTTTCCAATATGTATGCCTTTTATTTTTTTTTTTTTTCTTGTCTATTGCACTAAGACTTTCAGGATATATAGAAGAGGAATAATGATAGTATAGGCATTCTTGTCTTGCACCCTCTTCAGGAGGAAGCAGTCAGTCTCACTATTAAGTATGATGTTAGCTGTAGGTTTTTTGTAGGTGCCCTTTCATCATGTTGAAGTTCCCT